TGAAAAACCTCGTCTGTATAAATTTCCCTGCGAAATAGAAAATCTGGCTGACTTGGTTCTTAGTTTTGCGGCTTTTTTGGGATCTTCTAGCAAAGTTCAATTTTGAAGATACTCTACGATGGGGCCCATCCAGCTTAGTAGGGCTTGCACAAAAAACACTTCTTCATCTTCAAGGCTCATAGAAGGTTCTACTAGGTGCTCTAATGGAATCAATCTGTCCAAATTTTCCTGAGAGGCTGTTGCCAACTTTGCCAAGGCATCTGCTCACAAGTTTTAGATCTTGGGACATGTCTGACCTTAACTTGCACGAACTTCTTGATCAATTCTTTCACCTTTCTAAGGTAAATGACCATTTTCTCACCCTTAGCTTCGTAAGACTCCTCTATCTATTTTACTACTAGTTAGGAATCACTACAAATTTCCAACTGCTCTGCATCCATTGTGTGAACAAGGTTGAGCCCAGCGATGATAGCTTCATATTCTGCCTTATTGTTTGAAGCCTTAAACCTAAACTTGAGGGCATACTCAATGTCTATTCCATCTAGAGAGATCAGTATTAAGTCGGCACCACTTCCTTGATCATTGGCAGCTCCATTTACGAAAGGCTTCCATGTGGGGGGGTTAGGTACTAGCCGTGCGGCTTCCATGGGTGTTGCTGTCATGAACTCTGCGATGAAATCTGTCAAAATCTGCCCTTTGATTGTAGTTCTTGGCTTGAATCTGATATCAAACTCACTGATCTCTAGGCCCATTTAACCAACCTCCCTAAAGACTCTAGTTTATGCAGCACTTGCTTCATCGACAATTCTGTTGGTTCCTCGATTATATGAGCTTGAAAGTACGGTCTAAGTCTCCTAGTTGTAACCACCAAGGTTAGGACAAGCTTCTCTATTTTTGGATATCTCTCCTCTGCCCCTCTAAGAGCTTGGCTACAGTAGTAGACTGGTTGCTGAGCTCTATCTTGCTCCTTTACTAGTGCTACACTGGTTGAGAATTCTAAGACTGCTAGATACAGAGTAAGTACTTCCCCTTCCAAAGGGCTCACCAGAACTGGAGGGGAGCTCAGGTAGACCTTCAAAGCTTTTAATGCTTCTTCACACTGGACATCCAACTGAAATGCCTTTTTTTAAGACTTTGAAGATAGGTTGGCACTTATCGCTTGATCTGGACACAAAATTGCTCAAGGCAACTATTCTTCCTTTCAGGCATTGGATCTCCCTTATATTGGATGGTGGTTGCATATCCAGGATTGTCCTAACCTTTTCTAGGTTAGCCTCGATTCCTCTACTATTGACTATGAAGCCCATAAATTTTTCTGCAGATACTCCGAAGGCACATTTTGCAGGGTTGAGTCTTATCTTATATTCCTTAAGGACCTGGAATGACTCCGCTAGATGAGCGATGTGAATCTCTTCTCTCATTGATTTAACCAACATATCATCAATATAAACCTCCATGGATGTCCCAATTTGCTTTTGGAACATTCGATTCACCAGGTGCTAGTAGGTGGCTCCAGCGTTCTTCAATCGGAAGGGCATGACTCGATAACAGTACGTTCCCTGTTCAGTCACAAATGAGGTTTTCTCCTGGTCTACTGGATCCATCGTAATCTAATTATAGCCTGAAAAGGCATCCATGAAGCTGAGGAGCTCGTGTCCAGCGGTGGCATCTACTATCAAGTCAATCCGAGGTAAGGGAAAGCTGTCCTTGGGGCATGCTCGGTTGAGATCAGTGAAGTCTATGCAGAGTCGCCACTTGCCATTGGTTTTCTTGACAAGAACCACATTGGCTAACCAGGTGGGGTATGCTTGACAAAATTCCTTGTAGTTTCCTAACCTCTAAACATCACCTGTTAGCATGTATAGTATATGGATGAAGGGGAGTGTCACTCTCCTATGGGTGATGTCAAAAGAAAGGGCAAGGAGATGGAAAAAAAATGAAATGATGGTAATGTGATGTGTAAATGCACAAAAATGTGTGTGTGTGTACAAAAGTGCTCCCCAAGTGCAAGGAGACTTTCGCTGGTCGTGTTTTACTTGGTGGTATTCCAAGATCGTTTCCACAGGGAAGGAAGTAAACAGAGGGGAAAGTGATTTTTGGGAGAAAGAAAGTGTAAAATCTTTGGTTGTTGGAAGTTGTTTGGTGAAGTTTGTTTTGATGCTAATAAAATGAGAAACAAATGTTAACAAATCCAAGAGGTCACTCCAATAGGAATACCGTCTCAACTCGAAACCCTCCTCCAATGGAGTATGAATGAACGATTGATTTGTGGAAGGCTAGAGATAAGACTGGTGAGTATCTAAGCATAAACCGTGACTAGGCCTATGAAATATCAAAGACTCACCAATTTATCCACCCTTAACCCAATCAAACCGAACCATTGCACTCTAAAAGAAGGGAGGAGAATGAGTTGAAATGGTATACCAAAGTGGAGGTTCGCCTTGGTTTTGCCAACTAAACAATTTAGCTACTCATGCTTAAAATGAAATTGACAATGTAATGAGAATGCATTGTAAAGATATGAAGTACAAGAAAACATAAGCTATAAGAGAGTATATTGAGTACCCATTTGAAAACTAAGAAAATGAAGAACTTTGATGCATTAATGGTGAAAGCTTTAAAAGAGCATTAAACTTGCATTGAACTTGAAGGAAACCAACATTAATGACATTAAATAAAGTTCTAAAGATTCATATATGGGATTACAAGACAATGTATTGAAAGAAATGCAAAAATCTCAATTTTCTCT